TTTTTTTCGTAAAAAATTACTTCTTTTCCAAAATTTTGGCCCGTTTCACTTTGAAATAAAGATCAAATCCAAGGGCATACTTGAAATCGCCACATATGACTTTTGGTCAGCCGTCTATGAAAAATTTTCCTATAATTCCTTCCGTATGGTAGATAATAAGCTTTTAATTTTGCCAATTTTGAACAAGGATGCATTGCAATGAGCGCCACACCTAGACCCCAGCACCTTCGAAGCCCAATCTTTATGTGCATACGAGTTGAGATTTAATGACTGCACCCCGCAGGGACGACGTGTGGGGAGGCGTGTGAGAGGCGGAGAGACTATTAAAAGATTGGGCGGTTTTCCTTTCATGTACGCCCGCCATATTTAGTCTCAGGATTTGTAAAGCCTGGCTCAAATCGTTTTGAATGCGGTCTTAGGGTTCTTAATCTGTCCTAGAACATAAAGTTTTTCTCTTTTAATGAAAGCTGTTCTTTAACTGTTCAGTTGTCGAACTGTTACATTCATTACAAAACAACATTAGAACTGAAAAAAAAATACACCAATAACAGATTGAGAACTGTAAATGAATGTTAAATGAGACACATTTTTGAAGGGGTAGTCAGATCTTCTATACTTAATGGCCTCTTTGTTTACTTTTGAGACAAAAGATACAACAAATATGAATCTCTCAACTGTAGCGTATGATAAATTACAATGGCTCTAAAAAACTGAAAAAGCAAATTGTCAAAAAAAAAAAAAAAAAGAATAATAAGATAATAATAATAAAGCATGTATTACATTCCCAACCTTACAAATAATCTTGCATTTCATAAATCGCCCATTGACCTTAACACTACGCTCGGAGGACATTAAAGACGCGTTGACAACAGATGAGATGGCAGGACTCCGTATCTCGAAAGGTTCGCTATGTTGCGCTAGTGTCTCGATTTCGTAACAGATTCTTTCGAGATACGGGGCCATGGAATCGAGACGCTTGCGAACGTGCGCAACATAACGAACCTTTCGAGATACGGAGCCCGGTAGTGCTTTAAGGTCAAGTCGGGTCATGGGATACATTTAGGCACTTCAAAAGCTTGAGCACAGCTCTACGCCCCAATAGACACAGTGACACCAGGTGAGGTGACAGAAGTGCTTTAATATGATCGGAACATGAGTTACATGTCGATCTCTCTCTGGGGGGAGGGGGGCGTATCGACAATGCGAGAAAAAAGTTATATACATGTAGAAACAATGCATGGGGCGTGAAGATAACATCCGTACTTAAAGTAGAACCTTATGATTTTTGGCTCTGTTTGCAGTCTAACTTGTGTTAACCTCTCAAATAAAGGCTATATATAATACCCGCAAAAGTAATGACGCACGTGTTGTTTTCAAGAAAAAACGCACGTAATGATGCCAAGTCAACCTAATATGTTGCAAAACTGGTTTACTGCAGCGCCTCCGATTTAGTTTATACTGGCATTGAAATTGCCTTTATAAAAGCAAGTTGACACCTGCCAAGTCATGCATCAAAGACCAACAACGAAGAAGGGGCGTGTTAGCTGTTGAACCAATACAAACAACCAGTGCCCCGTATCTCGAAAGCATGATTATATTTACTTTATTGTCAGTGGTTTGGAAGCCGACCAAATATGTAACGAGCTTCAGTGACATTTGTGGACTGACTCAGTGTCAACGGCACACGTGACTTACAGAAGCTGTAAAGACTTTGAATTTGATAATTCAGGCTCGGAATGTCAGGCTGGCAAAATATTTGAGAACAATTCTGACAGTCTCCTCCTGGCGTTGGGTACCAGTAAAATACATATATATAAGAGCGGGTGATTATATGAGTACGTAGGAAACAAGAAGAAGCGTGCTAATCAGAGTTCCAGTGGAGTTGGGTCGATCTACGTAGCCATATAGGGCGTATTCCCAGAGCTTTTAGATCGATCTACCCCCGCGGGGAGTCTCACTAGATTACTGTCAAACAATCCGGCTTAAATGTCCGTCCCGCCTACTACAAGCTGTAAGGGGGTAATTAACTTTCGTGCCCACTCGGCTGACAGCTATTCAGCGTGAAGCCCCAGGGAGTTAGGTCGATCTAAAGAAGATCGATCTAATCTCTGGGAATAGGGTCATAGTTTCATTGGAAATGAGCCCAAATGAAAAAATATACATTTCAAACAAGCTTCGCTTTTGTATATTGACGGAATTTCACATACGTCGCTTTTCAAAATTTACTGATATAAAGTGTTAGTTGTATCAAGGAGTTATAACTCCTTGGTTGTACATGTATTGTAAGGTTACATTACCTATGGTACGTATATTTTCTTTAAGTTTATACTTTCAATATATAATTGTGGGCTACCCTGTGGGGCATAACCCTTAAAATCGTTGAAACAAGTAAAGGTTATTATTATTGTGACTTACCTACAGGGTTACTACTTAATATGGAATATTTTTTATCATTGTTATTTTGAGTGCTGATTAAAATCTTTTTGGCTTGATCCATCAAAGAAGTATGTCACTGAGTGATAAAAATATCCAGTCTTCTATTGTGAGATATTTTGGTCAGTAATATCACATCTGACATAAGATGTCATTCCAAAGAAAAGAACACCCCAGAAAACCATTTCAACAGTTTGATGTCACTATAAATTTAAGCTAAGATATTAGAGAAAATGATAGCCTCCGGACAGTGATATGTTACACAGTCAAAGAACTCATTACAGTAAATCATGAAAAGTCATCAATAGCGGGTATGACCTCCAGCAGCCGCTTGCAATGCCCTCATCCTACATAGCATACTCTATGGCAAGTTTTTTAGAGTTTGGATGGAGATATCATTCCACGAAGTGATATTTGCCTGTCCCAAAACATCACTATTTACCGGCCGATGACCATAGCCATAAATTTTCAATTGGGTTCATATCTGGGGAGTTCGCAGGCCAGGGTAGTTGCTGAAACCATTGGTTTTGAAGAAAAACGATGATTCTGCGAGCTCGATGTGGAGTTGCGCAGTCGTCTTGGTACACAAAGTTGTTCCTGAAGATGAATCTTACAAATCGAAGCATTGTTTGCTGTAGAATGTCTCTGTAGGAGCCCTGGTTGACGTTGCCTCCTAGAAAAACCAACTTGTTCTGGGCACCGGCATGAAATGCTCCCCAAAGAGAGACGTTACCACCTCCTGCTTGCACCCTAGGATGTACAAAAACATCGTTTCATGCCTCTCGTACATGTCGGCGGACACGCATTCGACCATCAATCCTAAAAACTCAATATCTGGCCTCATCACCGAAAACGACGTGATTCCACCCCCATAAAACTTTTGGCTGCAAACGCACATGGTCCCCAGCCCATTGCAGACGTCGCTGTATATGACCTGCTGTTAACAGTGATTTCTCTACTGGTCTTCGTGCAAAATAACCGGCTTTCAGTAATCTCTTGTTCACGAGGGACCTTGAAATCGCTATCACATGGCGCACCAGGCAAAATCGGTGTGGTGGCTGATACTCTGTAATGCAATCTTACACGCACCTTGAAAACAGGTAGTGTGGGCTGATATACCGGTTTATTCTGGATCTGTAGGTGCCGAGTCTGGTAGTTGGGTAGGCCTGGTAGTTGCTTCTCAAAATACACTCCAAAGATTGGCCAAACCCATGCATTTTTATACAAGGACAGAAATTGCCGAAAAGACCACCCCTCACATTTCTGACCACAGAACATGCAACTGCATGCATCAATTGTTTGGAGAGTTGTGTGGTAATTAGGTAACACACCTGGCTACACATGGAGTGACGCCTCAGTTTTGGATTTGAAGTAGTAAGAGAGAAAATAAACATTTTGTAGAAAATTTACTAGCCAAAAAATAATATTCTATATTAAGTAGTAACCCTGTATTATCCTCTTGTGGCTCCGAGAGTCCCAACCTGTTTAGACAAAACATTGGTGAAAAATTCTCAGAATTTATGGGAAACTCGAGTATGGTTAGTTAAGGGATACGATTTTTAAACAGATTATTATCCGTGCAAATCTGAAATAATTGAATAAAATAATCGACGAAATCTAAAAAATCACATGTAAACCCCTTTACACTGGATGTCCCCGAGTTCGGCCCTGTTTTAGAGTAAAATATACACACACTGGACAATAGAAGTGTCACCCCTACTAAACCAATACTTTTGGGGAGATAAATGACTGTGGAATGATGAGCTCCTGATATCATTTTACTAACATCAAATTTCACAAAAAGACCAACAATACAATTCCATNTCCGATATACCGGTTAATTCAGGATCCTTAAGTGCTGAGTCTGGTAGTTGGGTAGGCCTGGTCTTCAACTATCTAGAAATACAGTTCACACTATTCCTTCCACGCACAGAAGGCTGTCTTACCGTTTGGGAAGGAGGGGGGTGTGGGCATGGACACGGCGGTGTTCGGGGTCTCAGTGGTAGGCATCGTAGTCATCGTAGTCATCGTGTCTGCACTGCACGACTGACGGCGGAAGTTGACGCAGTTTGGCTATTAAATAGATATGATTTTTAATGGAAAATGTTTTGAATGGAGACATTTGCATATAGTATAAGTGGTATTAAATCTATGTTGAACATTCCTGACCGTGGAGGCATTCATTTTGGGTTCTTTTATCCAAGTCCGTTCTCGTCTTGCTCTGGAAGATTAATATTCTCATATTTTGTCTCCAATATTTAACCCAATGCCCCCACAGAGCCTTGGGTTTCAGGAAGTCGTATACACTGAAAATTTCACTAACATGAATAGTCTTACTGTTGTGACATGCAAGGGCCTGACATCTACGAGATTCACAGCACGCAGCGTCTCTGCTGTCGAAACATTCTTAACCGTCATACACCAAGTGCACGTTGGAAGTCGTCACATTCACGACATTTTAAAGCAGTATCAATCCCTTTAAGAGCGCATTGAGAACAGAGGACTAACAGATCCGCGGATCAAATATGGCGACCAACTGAAAAGCTTGTCGCTTAATTTCCGATTAGGCCACACTTTTTTATTTTTATGGATGATATCCTCTGGGGACCCCGAAATCGGTGCAAGAGGGCGAAAAAAAAACAGTCCAAAAAAGAAAAATACTGCTTAAGTAAAGGGATGCTGTCAGTACACAGTGGGAAACACAAATTTACCACACAAGCATTGTGAATACTTCGTAGAAAGGTGATTTTTTTCGGAGAACGGACGAAAATCGGTGCGCGCGCAGGATGTCACCATAAAAAAAGTGTGTCCTTAAACACAGACAGGGATTACGCAACAAGCATTTAAGTGGGTCAACCATATTTCCGCTGTTCTGAATGTGTTCTAAGCTATCAGCACCCTCACCTTGGGCACCAAGTTGTTGCAGATGGTGCGGTTAGTGTGGAAGAAGCAGGCACGCTGGTCACTGCTGTAATCAAAGCCGCCGCAACTCTCCAGGGAGAGTTGGGAGCACATGGCCATGCAGGAGGCAAGATCACGAAGCAAGGGTTGCAGGACGCCGCCGATAATGTGGACGTTCTGGGTGACTGGGAAATTGACAGGGAGAATGTGATAAATAAAGAGATGTATATGTAATACAAATAGTCATTGCAGTCCTACAGATGAAACGACAACGCTAGCCATCGAGAGCACCTCTCACTGATAATGCAAAGTAAACAGACATTTTAGGTCGTGCATTTAAGAATTTTAGGAATTAATACATGTAGATATATTAAAAATAATAACAAAATTTATTTCACATTTTTACATTTATCTTCGTGTACACACACTAGACAATAGAAGTGTCACCCCTACTGAACCAACACTTTGAGGGAGATAAATGACTGTGGAATGATATGTTCCTGGTATCATTTAATTGACATCAAATTTCATAAAAGAAACGGTTCTAACTGAACAATTCAACTGTAACGATATTCTGACATTGCTTATTTTCCACCTCTTCAGGTTAATAACTTTGATTACTTTGACTCAGGGGGTGACACTTCTATTGTCCAGTGTGTGTTTATAATAAAGTAGTTATTTTGATTGATAATTTCACCAGCGGTTTCCTTTGTATCACGGTTAGAATAGAGCAAAGTATATAAAAGGTGGGTTTGAAGAAAACGAAAAGGCCGGACAATGCTCTTGATTATCAATGCGACAATGATATAAAAAATCGGTCCTAGTGGGAAAATTTTTTTAATAATCAGGTTCTGTTGAAATCAAATCATACTTACAGCCTTGTCCCGTCCCTCCGCTGCCTGGAATAACAACGAAAACACTGAGAAATCATTAATACATTGAGTGAATATGCATCATAAGTGAGCTCGAACCCGCCATCACATACAGAAATGATTTAAAACCGGGCATCTTATTAGAAACAGTAACTCATACAGTATTACCATTGGTTTAACATGGACGGACAAAAGAAAACCGTAACAGTATCAAGATCAACCCTACAATTCCTCTTCCAGTCTTAGGAATGTCTTTCAGTTTGAACATCTCACCCGATCCACAGGGTACCCTCCGGTAGTTAGTGCAGGATGGCTTGGCCACCAGGTCGTTACAGATGGTGGTGTTGGTGTGGAAGAAGCACGCCCGCTGGGCGGCGTTGAAGTCGAAGCCTGGGCAACTTTCAACAGAGAAACTGAGGCACGTGGTCGCACACATGGTGAAGTTTCGGATTGTTGGCTGCAGGATTCCACCGATTATGTGAACGCCTTGAGTTACTGAGAAATGAAAAGGAAGAGTTGAAGACATATGTTACATTGGACACCAAGGGAGAAACACGAGTTACAAAACAGAGAAAAAGAACTGAGACCAGGAATTGGTCTTAATTTTACATGCGGTAAGTTCGCCTTTTTGTCCAAGATAAAGCAACAGCAGTCGGCTTGGATAAGGTAAGGATTGGTTTAAAACCTATCCCTATATCATTTTGTTATAAAACAGGCGCCACATACGTGACTGATCAACTAGTGATTTAACTTTCGTCACAATAGACTCAAAGTTTAATATGAGAGTGATAGTTTGTGTCGAAGTAATATTCTGAAACGACCATCGACTTCAGGAGGATTGGAGTTAGAAAGCAGCTTTTACAGATTTTTGGGATATTTCCCACTCTTCATGCGCGTCCCAATCACGCGGATAATGTGTGCC